TGCTCCAATCACATTTTTTTCTCTTTTGAGATCTGCATTATTGTACAGTTTTCAGCTCTATCACATAACGTCCCCCTTCCCTTTTTTCTTGCACAAAGAAAAGCATCTTAATCAGTATATACATGGCACAAAAGACTTGTATAGGGAACCATGCACTTTTAGTCTTTTAAATCCTGCATACTTAACATACCTAAACTTCACTGCTTAAAAGACAATAGGCATTTAAATTCAGAGTAAATTAGCAATCCGGACAATTTGATCTAGCCAAATTAAGGTTACAAGCACTTTCATGTACTAGATTTTTTACTTTCCTTGACACTATCCCATTTTTTCTAAAACCCACAGAATCCATCTTATCTACATGCGTGTTGATCTTTATTTTGGAATTTTCAGTTTCTGAAGTAGCTTAATTGCACTGCCAGCAGTATTTTTCTAACAGAAAACAAAATCAAAAAACCAAAAACCAAACTGAATTAAAATAAAAACCCACATGTAAGTTTGCTTGAAGCAGGAAACCAAACAAAATTAACAAAACCATGTCCTAAGCTCAGGCCTCAAGTCCTTATGCTGCTAAAATCACCAGCCCAGCCCTAAGAAAATAGTATCTGCTGTATTTTGTGACTGTGAATGTGGGGAGGCAGTATAAAAAAACACATATTAAAAAGACTAACATGTTTAGTGTTTCTTTCTCTAGGAATCTCTTAGAAACAAAGTGCTTGTAGATCTCGGGTCTTTGTAAGGTATGCAGAAGAAAAGAGTTCACCATCTACTGCTTTCAGCATTTTGGTATCTTTGTTGAACACACAATTAAGTACAAACTAAAAAACAAAGAATGGTTAACAAAACAGAGGAGGGCACAGAAACAAAAAAATAGGGCTACATACAGTATAGCATGGGTAAGGGAAAGACTGTAGACAGGCAATGCATTTGCAATGCTCTTTTAAGAATCTTATCAACTGTGCTACTTCAAAAGTAAACATAAATCTCCCCTGCAATGGGAAATGCAACCACTAAATTTCTTGAATCACGTTAAAAACAGAACAAAGCCCCTACCCAACAAAGAAACACAGAGCTGAATGGAAACACTCGTGCTCTTGAAGATAAGGACATAGTTTAAGCACTTGCAGAATCAGGCTGCAGTTTTACTACTCGTAGATAAGATGAGGTTTCAGGTAATGAAAGCTCAAGAACAACCAGTTTCATACAAGTTTAATTTCAGAGTAAAAATTAAATTTGAAGTTTGGGGACCTGGATGCGTGGTCACACAGACTTGTGTTTTGTTTTTAAAAGCTGTCAGCACAAAATTACAGAAAATACACCCACCATTCAGAGATAGTACCACATTCCTGCAGTCATTTCTCCTATATAGCACAGCACTTTTCCCTTCCAGATGGGATTAATTTTATTTCTATAGGAGACCTGAAATTGAATTCACTGCCTAAAGATAAAAATCTCCCTTGGTAGGAATATGCAATTCCCTTCCTCCTCATGTTTCTCTCTCACAAAAAAAAAAAGTGAACACAATCACAGATAGTTAAGAATAATGCTTTTGGCACAGCTTCAGTCATTAGCAAATAATAAGCTCTGAGCTACAGCAATTCTGTGAGGCTGCAAAAAATATTTTGTCTTTCGGTGAGGCTCTGAGAGCATACGTGGCACTGGACAAAGATGAGTTACAGAGCTGCACAAAGGGGTTAATTTATTCCTCCTGCATTTTGTCAGTCGCCTTTGACAAGAACTATGGGCGACCTTTGAGCCAAACCAATATGTTAAATCCAATAAAATTTTTCTATTCAACAAAGATCTTAGTATATTTACCATTACTTTTCAGCCTTTTCTGAATGTTCACAATACTGGAGGGGAATCATAATTTAATGTTAAAAACACCAAAGATGCAGACTAAGATGAAGAGACAATGCCCAGTAATATAGCAAAGCAGAATTGCAGTGGCACTGCTAGTAATTAGAGAAATGATGAAACGAGGACAGAAGAAGACACAAAACTGACCTTAAAGAAAGAACCAGAATAACTTCACATCTAGCAGCTTAAGATATACAATCTATGGAAAAAGAAAACAGAGAGCATCAGAGAAATTCTCACTTCCATACTACCATCTGCTGTGATTCACCAATAAAGCAGCAATCAGAAAAAGAGCAAGATGTTTATAGCCCTGTACAATCGTTCTTATGAAAACAACCAATTTAAGAGTTAAGAATATACATGTTGAAAATATTTCTCTGTGACACCAAAAGAACAGTTTAAAAGCTTCTGGCCTAGTCTAAGTTACAACATGAAGTAGGAAAAAAAAGTATATAATTTCTTTTCTCTGCCATTAACATTAGTCATGCTTTAGAATGGAAAGTATAATAAGAAACCCTAATTTAAAAAAAGGGATATCTGTATAATGGAACATTAACAAAGATACTTTCCTCTGTATTACATAAAATGTTAGTATTTATGTATAAAATGTTTTTATAAAACTTAAGGAAAGCAGAAATACAAGAACTATACAACCCAAATTACCATAGTATAAAACACTCGAAGAGGCTGAATCATAAAAAATCAGCCAGAACCAAGTAAGACAATAAAAGCACAGGTGACAAAAACAAAGCCAGGAGTGAAATAATAACACTTGAACTGATGTAAACATTCAAAACCGTGAAGAAAGGAAATGCAAAAAGAGAAAGCTAGGTGTTAATGAAACACAATACTCGACAGGCTGAAGCCTACTGTTTTCCCTTCAAACAATTTTCTTTTGAATGCAAACCTTCAACAGCTGCTAAGTGTGATACAGACACGAATTTGTAAGAACTTGTACAACATATTTTTCTAGCCGCTTCAAAATCTCCAGCCCTAGAAGAGCCACTGTGCAGTAGCCTGCTGCATTTTGCTCCAACAGCTACAGTGATGAGATCTCTCCTTTCAAGTCTCTGCAGATATGCTACGGAGATGAGGATATTCTCTTGCAAATAAAATCCTGAACAGGTGAATGTCACGGTGACACTGACAAGCAGCTAAATCTCATATAAGATTTAACTCCAGAGCACTCCCTGGTTATATGCTGGTTCTGCACAACTTCTGGCAGTAGCTTTCCTTGGCAAACTCACACAAGCTACAGCTGTATAACAGCACTACCCCAGAAAACTGAAAAACCACTTGGTACTGGTTAGCAAGCTGAACTGGCCCGTGACTAGTTAGAAGAGACAGCTGGCACATGGGCAGTTTCGCGATTGCCCTTTTAAGCCAGAGCAGAGTTAGATTTTCCCAAGTACTTCCTGAAACACCAGTCCTAGAAAAGAAAAGGAAATCACAGCCACAAAATGGCCACAGTTGGAAAGGACCTTCAGAGGCCACCTTGTCCAACCCCCTACTTACAGAGAGCCATCTTAGAGCTGGCTGTTCAGGATCATATCCAGGCATTTTTGACTGCCTCCAAGGATGGAGACCCCACAACCTCTCTGGACAACCTGTACCAGTGCTTGGCCACTCTCACAGTGACAAAAGCATTCCCTGATGTTCCCTGAGAAACCTCCTGTGTTTCAGTTTGTATCTTTTGCCTCTGTTCCTTTCACTGGGCACAACTGAATAGAGCCTGACTGTTCTCTTTGCACCCTTCCTTCAGGTATTTATATTCATTCATAAGAGCCCTCTGAGCCTTCTCATCTCTAGGCTAAATGGTTGCAGCTCTCTCAGTCTTTCCTCATATATAAGATGGTCCAGTCCCTTAATCATTGTTGTGACCCTTCTTTGGCCTCTCGCCAGAATGTCCACACGTGCCCTTGCACCCAGCTCTCCAGGTGCCCCGCCAGTGCATAGCAGAGGGGAAGCAGCAGCTCCCTCAATCTGCTGGGAACACCACGTCAAATGCAGACTGGGATATGCGAGTCGCCTTTGCCACAAAAGCAATTGGGAGGAACCGCTCCATGCCAGGGATCAGTTGGGAAAACACACGGAAAAAGGCAAGATGCATGGCAAGTGCCATGTCCAGATGCTGTATCTGTCTTACATCCATCAATTGTTCTAAAGCTGGGGGTTGAGCATCAGCTCAATTTCAACGATGAAATAAAATGAAATTAATAGAACAGAATAGCTCAGTTGGAAAGAATCTACAATGATCATCTGGTCCAACTGCCTGACCACTTCATGGAGGGTCAGAGCAAAAGCATGTTATGAAGGGCATTGTCCAAATGCTTCTTAAACACTGACAGGGGAATCAACCACCTCTCTAGAAAAGCTGTTCCAGTGTTTGACTACCATTTCAGGAAATAAATGCCTCCTTATGCTCAATAGAAACCTCTTCTGGTGCTGCTTTGAATCGTTCCCACATTCCCTGGGATATGCACTGGATACCAGGGAGAAGAGATCAGCATCTCATCTCCACTTCCCCTCCTGAGGAAGCTGTAGAGTGACGAGAACAACCTTCAGCCCCCTTTTCTCGAAAGCAGGCAAACCCGAAGTCCTTAACTGTTTCTCACAGGACACGGCTTCACCAGCTAGATTCACCAGCTTCGATTTCCTCCTCTGGATGTAGCTGCAAAGCCCAGAACTACACAATATTCCAGGTGAGGCCACACCAGCGCTGACTACGGCGGGATAATCACCTCTGTTTGCACTGTGTTTGATGCACAGGACGCCTTTTTCCCTCTTAGCTGCCAGGCACACTGCCAAATTACACCTGAGCGGCACCAGTACCTGAAGGGGGAGGGAAAACGCCGGGGAGGAAAAATACGGAGCGATTTAAAGGGATTAAACGACAGGAGAGGGCTGGAAGCTGACGGCCGGCTCCCCCGGCCGCCCGGGGCTCGGCCCTCCGCCCTCCCCGCCGCGGCAGTACCGACAGCCGCCCCCCTGTCACCCACCCTCCCGCTGCCGCCGCCGCTCTCACCAGCCTCCGCCTCCGCTTCCGGGTCGCCTCGGGCGGAGGGGAAGTCCCGCCCCGACCGCCGCGGTCCCGGGGCCGCCGTCCCTCCCTCGGCGGAAGGCGGGAAGCGGCGCCGGCCATGGGTGACATCCACGAGGTGCCGCGGCCGCGCATCGCCACGGGACAGCTGGCGCAGCACATCGGGCGGCCCGTGTGCTTCGTGGGGCGCGTCGAGAAGGTCGGCGGGGTCTGGAGCGGGGATGGGGCTGCCCCGGTGCTCGGTGCGGAGAGGCTGGCGCCGTCCCTGCGGCAACTCGGCAGCTCCAGGCGGCCTGGGAGCGGGCCGGGAGGCGGACGGGGCTTTGCGGGAAAGACCTGGCTGAGGCCGCCAAGCTGTGGCGCTTCCGGGCGCCTTTGGAGCGCACAGGCCTAATGTCTTTTTCAGACTTAAATGTTCTTTTGTAGATTCACCCTAGCGGGAAGCTTGTCGTGCTTACGGATGGACTCGGAAAGCATACGACTGTGGAGCTGAGCGAGCCTGTAAGTTAAGGAGTGCTTTGGAAATACTTGATGTCGCCTCTTGTGGATTGCGGAGGTTTTGTCTCTTCCGAAACCTGTACATGCCTTGCATGCTTTGAGTTGTTCCACCTGTATTTCATTGTCTCTCTTTCTTGCATCTTTCAGCCAACCTGTAGTCTTCTTACCCATGAGCTGCCTTGGTCTTCATCAATTTTCAGCTGGTGTTAAGAGACAGAACTCATTTCTTGTCAGACACGTCCCTGTCTCGCTATTTTGTCTTACTCTATTAGTTGTTCACAGTGTAATATATTCCACTACGTTTATTAGCTTTATTTTCAGTATTTTCTCCCATTTTCTTATCACTTCTATTATCAGAAAGAACATGTTTTTTTTCAAGAGGTTTTTAGGTTAACATTGCTGCATTCTCTTAGAACACTTGTCATAGTTCCACTTGTCCATAGTTAGTCTGAAGCATTCTTTCTTAAAAAAACCCAAGCAATGAATGCAATGGGTATAAGATAGAAGAGTAGAACTATTCAATAAAAATACTGCTTCCTTTGTTATCACCTACCACTGAAGGAATAACATTTCAGCATTCTAAGTATGTTTTTTCCACCAAGAAATGTTTTAATTAAAGAATTACTTTAATTGTGATGGCCAATGCTCTAGCTTGACTCAGCGCATGTGTCTAAATCTTTTTCTCTGAGTTGTTAAATGCTGAGAAGCCTTGCCATTTCCATGGGAAATAATTGCATATAGTACTCTCAGTCTCTCAAGACGAGTCTGTCTTTGTTGATGAAAAATGCAGTTTAATCTGGATGAGTTTTGTCTTAGAAATGTGAAGACTGCTGACGTCAAACTGCAACAAAATGTCTCTTACCTCTTTCTTGAGTTCCTGAAAACATTTCCTGCCTTGGGTTGTTAAAAATTCAGATGTTAGCATCTGACCAATGATTCTACAATATTTTCTCTAAGTGGTTGAATTCCATAAATGCAAAGCTGTAGTGCTGGGTACTTCAGCCTGTGTTCCACTGCCTTGGAAGAAACTGGTGTGTGCAAAAACATGATGTTAGGTTCACCTCTCCAGTTCACCCAATGTCAGTGGGGAGACTAATAGATTTGCTACCTTTTTTAATTTTCAAACTTTTTTCCTTTTCAATATATTTCACTGTTTGTGCATGTGTAGTTTCCCTCTTTCAACAGAGGACCCCAAAATTATGGGGAGGGAATTATTCCAGAAGACTTACAAGAAAGTAAAAAATATGACTTAGATATTGGAAGAGCATTACCAAAATAGTACTGCACTGTTAAAATTTGTATCTTAAAAAACAAAGAAAATGTTCAAGCTGTATTATTTTGGCGTAAGAGACCATTTTTTGCCTTTTTTCCTTTGTTCAGCCAAAGGCTTATTAGTGACAGTATGTATGCATTCTGAACTCTTACTAGATTACTTAAGAAATGATTTCCAGATATACCTCCTGAATGTGCAATGCTGGAACTGCTCTGGAATATGTGATGCCTCCTTAACTCTTAAAGAGTTCTGTAATTGATACAGGTTTGAATGCAGTGCATTAAAATCAGAATTGTTCTCTCTGTCCTAGATTACTCTCTGTTTAGTGATTAAATGACACAGTTCTGTATACTTGTAAACTGGTATCTTTTCTCAAATGTGTCTTCATATTCTTTTTTGTTGGTATTGAATTGGCTATTACAAAACCTGTAAATCTCTAACTGGATCCAAATTTTTGGGGGGAGAGTGACAGGGCTGTTCAATAGTACTGTACTGTTTGACATGCAACAGAATCTGTCATGAACAAACCATCAGTTGTATAAAGTTCCTGGCCGAGCAGTAAAAACAACTGTTAATTTGGTGTTACGAATTTCATCTTTGTGTTTTTTAGCTGGATGAGGAGATTTCAGGAGTTATTGAAGTGGTGGGAAGAGTAACAAATCAGGCAACCATCATGTGTGCATCTTATGTCCAGTTCAGAGAAGATAAAAATTCATTTGGTAAGTAAGAAGATACATCATGGCAAATTCATTTTGAGTTCTGAACTTGTCTTCAGTAAATAAGAAGGGAAAGCCTAGTTACCTTTTTTACAGACAAGGTCTTTTTTCAAGCCGCCAGATAATAAGCAGGGTGTAGAAAATAAGACTGTCATGAGAAAAGTTCTGTACTAAATATAGTGGTTTGCAGTTAAACTGTAGGGAGTGACTCAATGCTGGAGCCAGTCTAGGTCGTTGCTGTGGCCTGATTGCTCTCCCACTCCTGACCACATGGTTCTCGCCTTGCCCTGGACCTTGTGTGCTTGTGCAGCTAGCAGGCCTAAAAGTAACCCCCCCAGGAAACAAGCAATGAGTGTTCCTGCCATGGGAAAATGGGAGCTTGAGGGAGACTGGGATCATTTAACAGTACTGCTTTAAAATAAGCAGTACTTGAATGTTGTCAGTGACTAGTGGGGAATTGAGCTTATGCATTATAACCATTTTCTTTGCCCTTTTTCAGATCTGGAACTCTACAATGAAGCACTAAAAATTATTCATGAATTCCCTGAATACTTCCCATTTGGTACTGGGAGGAACACTTGATTTTTATTCGCATATATTTAGACCTTCAGAGGAGACAACCGTACTGTGGTTTCTTGCCTGACAGCATGGTAACAGTTGCATTATTTTCAACAAATATATGAAAAGCCACTGTTACATGTGCTAAGTATTGCCTATGAAGAGTACTTTCTTTGAAAATGTATTTATTTAACAAGGAGAACAAATGTGAATGTCTCATTCGCTGTATATATTTAACCCTTTTGCATCTATAAGGAGTGTTCTCCTGCAAGACCAGACTTGTCAGAAATTTTGTAAGCATCCTTTTCTAGTTGGTAGAGGTTCTAGGATTATGAGAAACTTGTATGGGAAAAAATTGGTGGGGTTTCAATATAAAGATCTTTGATTTAATTTGATGTAAATTTATTGAATGGTGGTATTTTTCATCTTGAAAATGGCGTCTTCACCAATAAAAAAGATTCACTGCATTTAACTATTCACGTCAGCATTAAATTATAGAGTGCTGTTTTCAGTGATATCTGACACAGTTAAATTTAACAAAGTAGAATACACGGGTCTAGCCTTTGCACTGATGCTAAACACTTGGAAGATGTTTAATTAGGCTTGGGGACTTTGAGCACAGTTGAAATCCCATCACAGCCTTCATTCGTGATTGGAGTCTAAGCAGCAGTACCAGGATTCAGCCAGCTTGTCATGGTGATTAACCATAGGAACTTCCAAAGGTCTCCATTTTTGTTACTATCCAGGCTACTTAAAACACTTAGCAAAATTTTTGCATCAATTGAGGTAACACATTTAAAGTAGAATTGAACTTTGGAAGTATTCTCTTGGAATGAATGAAGTATTTCAAGGTATTTTAAGTAAACCATAGCCATATTCATTAAACTTTTGTACAAACAGGTTTCAGGTTTAGCAGTTAGACTTAGTGCCTTAATAAGACTGCTAGCTTTGTGCTTATTTATGGACATCTCCTTTTTCAGCCAAGGAATATGTTTCAAAAACTGACACTTTGAACTCGCTACAAATTGGAGGGATGATCACCCTAAGAGATGAACTATTTTCTTCTCCCTCCCCACCTAGAAGACAGATAATGATACACTGGGAAGGATGTCTTCTGAAGTAGGAAGCAGTCTTGTACAGCAAACAGAACACAAGGTCCCTGTGGCACAGTATCCTGCCCTGTCTATCACCAGTCTCTTTAAGTGCTCAGTAGAACCAAATGTCATTCTTAATAATTGCACGTATGTTTTCCTAGCATTTAAACTATTTTGTTCTATTCTGCTTTAAAAAACTGGTATTTTGTGTGTGCACATACACGCTGTAAAATGTTATGTAGTTACCCACACTACCCATGCCCAGTGGAGCAGCCTGCCACTAGGTGGCTTCAGCACTTCAGAGACCAGCCTGGGGTATGAAGTCTTGTGAGGCAAACTTTGATCACAGCAAGTGGGAAATGCTGGTTTCCTTTTGACAGTCAAGGCTCTTCTTGTTCATGCAGTCCTACAGCAGTGAAAGGTGGCTGGGCAAGCTGTACACAACTAAAAGTTTCCCTTCAGCACTTCTCATTTGTCTGCTTCACTACAGACTATGAAGCTATGTGAATAACTTGCCTACCCTGACTACGTGGCTGTACAAACCAGACACCAGTGCAAGGAACTGTAAAACATTCTTGCTATTAGAGAAATGCTCAGGTCACATAAGTACCTATCAGCATAATTTCCTACACCACCATGTGGAAAATTGCCAGGCACTACAGATACCAAGGGAAAGCCACAACTATGGGACCTGCTGTCAGCTAGGCCTGATGGTTAGCAAGGCCCCAGGCACCAGACACAATGAAATGTGAGAAATTTCCAGACCTCACAGATAGTAAAATGGGAAGTAGGGGCTTTGTGGGACACTGACAGAAGGGGAGGCACCAGGGCAACTGAATCATAAACACCAGTGAGGGATGTCACCAAAGCCAGAAATGGACCAGTAATGGGAGGCATGAAGAGAAGCTGGTGGCTTCTTTGGGAGGACAGGAGCCTGGTGAATGGTGGAAACCTGGGAGGGGACAAGGGGCATACGAAGTGAATGCCGTGATTGGAGCAGACTTCAAGAAGTTCATGCTATTTGCAACAGGTCTGCTCCCATTACACTCATGACTGACTTCTGAGGCTCGGTACCGTTTTGCTGGGCTCTTGGCTGACCCTGCTTGCCTGCTCTGCTGTCCTGCCTTGGGCACGGACATGTGCACAACTCATGTGGTGCTCATGAGCAAGGAGCCTGTGTGTGTGATGATAAAACACTTGTGCTTAATCAAGGAAGGGCTGCAAGGCTGGAGCATCTAATGAAATGACAACAATGAAATGTAATCAGCATGAACCACAGGATCAAAACATTTTAGTGTGCAAGGACACTTTCAGTAAAGTTGAGCTGAGATTTACCAGGCAATAATAAACAAAAACAATTACTGCAGCTAATAAAATGGGTGTAGCTATACTTTTTGTTAGAAAACAATATATTGCCCCAAAAATGATAGTTTTATTAATTTAAAAACAAAACAAGGAAAAAAAATCAAGTAATTAAAAAACATACAGCTCTTGCTTTGTAAATTTTGAAAGTAGTGTAACTGCTGACTTGAAAGCCTGATTACTAATTGCAACAGCCAAAACTCATAGTGCCAGAATATGCATATTCACAATCCAAAACACTGCAAAGATACGAGTATTAAAGTGAGCATGTAATTTAACTTAGTGATAGAATTATAAAACACAGTTACAGCCAAGGTGAAAACGTTATAGATTAATTTCCTTTACAAGAGAAAATGAGACACTGTATATTGGTAGCTGCATTCACTTCAACATGGAAATTATCAAGAAAATTTACTAAATGTTACTTCACAAGAATAAAAAACAAACACTTGACACTTACCAATCCTCATTTACATAAACCAAAACCTTTATTGCCTGTATTTATATAAATAGGGTATCATACTGTAAGCCCCAGTTTACATTTATAAATGGAGAACATTTTGAAGAGCTCTTCAACAGCAATGTGAAGTGTGCAAAAATACTGGAAAGAGAAATAAATATTCTAAAAAAAAAAGGAACTGCTATCCCATGCCTAGAAATATCAAGTACCTCTTAGATTTTTAACTTAAAAAAAAATCTTGGCCAATTTTAGATCAAAATAAATGCAGCAGATGTATTACAACATTAATGCTAACTCAGAAAACATAACCCAAAGTCTTGAATGTAATCTTGTACATCCACAGAAAACATTTCCACATTTTATCTTCTTGAAACTACACTAGAGTACATAGAACTAGTGGTATATTACAGTATATTCTGTTTAAAACACTAATTTTCACAGTCCTGGCAAATAGTACCAGTTTATTGCTAGCATTCCATTTAGTATTTCATAGCACACAAGTGTTGAATAACTCATATACTGTAAATAAACACACACCAAGTAAACTGATGTTATTATCACATACCTTAAAACAGGTTTGGTTTTTTCCCTAATTTCTGTGAATTTTGTTGCCTACAAAATCAAGGACAACAATACCAATTAGCTCCTAGCACAGAATTAGCAAAATATCTATCATTGGTGCTCTCTCAAGTTAATAAATAATCTTAATTCCAGCTGGTAACACATCTAGAAATACTCTGATCAATTACACAAAATTTGGAGCAGATGGGTGTCCACTAGAGACCAGAAGGAGGATTTATACAGGTTCATTCCACACTTCCTAGTATATTTCAGAAGTACAGGGAAATGCTGATTATCTCAAAGTCGTCAAATATTTTTGTAGTCAAAACTGCACGTAGTTTAAAACTTAATATTTACAAGTCTCTAGTCCTTGAGATTTCAGATCTTCACAGTACTAAGTTAAAAATTTATCAGATACAACCTCCTATAGTTTACCTGCACTCTGCACTGAAACAGTCACATGACTTCTCGAGGAACTCTTCTCTAGGATATATTCATCACTAGGAGAGAAAACCCCCAAACTCTTTAGCAATAAAATTTGCATCAGCTAGATATGTAGCCTAGTTAAGTAAGAGCTTGAATTGCCAAGACGTTGCTTTACTATCAACAAGACCTGGGAACAGAAAGAAATGGATTTTTCTTTAAAATAAAAATCTTTAGAAGACAGTTAGCAGTGACACTTCGAATAAACTTACAAGGAAACAATAATTTGCATACAAGAGAGTGATCAAACAATGAACAGAGGAATCCACAGCATCACTTTGCCATCTTCTTTTCAAGTGTTTATTTTGAAGGTCTGTTTTCACAGCATATAAACTCAGCTTTGGGACCAATCAGCATTATCCTGAAAACTAGTTAATAAAAGTCTTCTTTGGATTTTAGCAAATCCAAAGAGTCCACAATTCCAGGAGTGCTTTTATTCAGTCCCCTGAATAAGGGACACGCACTGTACCTAGAAGCTCACTTCAGGAATTCCTGTTTCTACTAAGCACAGTCATACACACATCATTTTACTACTTCAATAGCAATTTATTTTTTCACAGTAAGTCACAAATTACCTTTGTCTAAATTATCTGCTTGGACTATGATGGACATCCATTAGAGAGCCACACATTTTCTAACAGTATTTATGCCTGGACAGTCTCTGCTGGAACAAGATTCCCTGTTGTATCCAGCTGCATACACTTACAAGAGCAGGCAGAAACTGGGCACTCGGTATGGTCCCTAGATAGCAACAGCCAAAAAAAGAAAAAACAGGTAAAATAATTTTGCAATTATACATTTAACTATGTGCAGACGTGTAGTATCTCAGAAAAACTCAGTATCATAGTTCTGTTTTATTATTTAAACTTTATAATGACAGATACAGGGAAGGAGACCTGTTCTTCTCAGTGCAGAACACACGTGACATAATAAAATTTTAACACCAACTTACCTGAACCAGCTCAGCATATGACCAGCATGTCCACCATGCCTACAGTTGTGACACCATGTAAACCAGTTGTTGAACTGGGCTAACTTCTTGTCTTTGCTAAGATCCACTTTTTCATCTGACTTGGATCCTCCTGTCCAGAGGCAAACCCACCCCACAAATAGGCTGTAAATCATTAAATTTCATTTATATTTCAGTCTCAACAACACCATTAAAATAATTCTGAAATAAAGAACATTATGTGAAAAAGCATCCTGATTTTAAAATAGAAGTCAGTAAAAATATTAAGACCTGGAAGAATGCCAGAAAAGAATTAGACTGCTAAGCTGTTGTTTCACATCTTATGGATATGCTAAACTTGCCCATTAAACAAGTTTTACAGACAGAATCTCCATCAATGGTGATTTATGCCTTATTGATTGATTCCTATTCCAGTGAATTATGGGCCTGTTCTGCTGTACATAAAATCCGCTTTATAAAAAAAAAAAATCAACAAAATCTAAAGTTATGAATTGGAACAAATACAATATAGAAGTCATAACAAAGATCTGCGAAATAATGAGAAGAGGTAAATAAACATGATAACTGTATGGCTGCTCATGGCTCTGTAATAAGACTGACTTAAAAATATGGTCAAAATCCTTTTTGTTTAGACATTATATAATGCTGAGCCAAAGGCATTTAGAACCAAACGATTCTAGTCATAATACCACTTAGCTGTGACAGCATGACCCATGCATTCTTTCATAATTAGTAATAGAAAGTACACTACACCCCTCTTCCTCTTCCAGCTAAATATTAATTCATTTACATTCAAAGATTTGTGTAGCATGCCTACAATTAATCTCAAGAAAACACACACCCCATTTCTTTCAGTTATAAAGCTCACAATACTGATCCCCATAATACTCGGATCTTTACATCAGACTAACCATGGAATTTGACTGACAATCTCAAGGAAAACTGCCAGAACCAAGTAACTACACATACTACCTGATCCTTAAGAACTGAAACAAAGGTTTCATTACAAAATTAGATGGGATGTAAAGAAGTTCTCAGTTATGGTCCTTCTCCCTTCAAAATGATAAGTATGAATATTTACAATATAAATGGGGAAAAAAAAAAGTGCAACAAAAGATCTTTCAATAGGAACCGCTAATTTGGCCTCTAACTAGTTCTGTAGCTGAGTAAGTAAAACCCACTGTGTCATACCTGGACAGCTGGAAACTGGTGTTCCCATATTTATCAGGCAAAGTGCACAGCGGGGAAGGGGCTTACGGCAACCAGGACAGCTCGTAACTTTTGACTTGGTTGGTGAACCGCTGACTCCATACTGGCTAAACCCTCGCCCCTGATGAGGAATAGCTGAACAGCTGTAAGAGATTGATTTTCCACAGAAATTGCAACTCACAAACACCTAAAGAGAACAAATGCCCATTAATTTTTTGGTTTGTTTCCACTTCTGCCACACCTGTGACTGAATCCATTCAAGCTAATTAACATTTATTTACCAGCTATTCTAGAAAGTGCCCTGAAAAGCCAAGGCTACTTGTGAAGGAGTTATTAACATCTTGGCTTAAGGAGGAGGCACACAGCCCTGAGAAGTGGGCCTTAATGATGCTCACTAACTTCAAAAACATATAAAAACATGCACAATTGCTAAAACTTTGACAGGTATTATTTAAGATAATAAAAGCTGTATCTTCAATAATGGAAGAAATTAGTTTTATTCTACTTACTATATAAAGTCTGGTCTCTCCCACCTTATAGTCAGATGACTCACACTACAATCCCCAACATAAGGATTTCCTAATATTATTTATCTGCATCCCTCATGTCACAAGTTGTGACTTGACACCAAGGAGCACATATTTAAAATTCTTTAGGGGTATTTATGTTAACAACATAAGGAAGGAGCAGTAAATTCAACTCCCTCCTGCTTGGAACAACTCTGCTTAAACAGCTGTAGCTGATAAATTAATTCAAACCCAGCTTTCCCCAGAATCTCTGAGGCCCTAAAGCTCATAATGAACATACTTAGCAGACATGAGAGAGTAAAAGGTGCCATGGTAAGACCATGTTAGCTGAAACTACCACCAGATGTTAAGAAGATAGCATTTGGGCAGGACGTTAATTTCTGAGTCAGTGTATGTTCAGAACTGATAATGAAAGTTGCTGCTCTTCACTTTAGTTTCAGGTTCAAGGGCTTCAAAACAGCTTTGAGGTCTTTTTCATTTAAAACAAAACCAATTTGAACTAGTTCCATGGTTTTGGCATCAGTCTCACCCTGACATTGAATTCAGCTGGGTGATACATGTCTGATTTCATTTTTCAGTATGTGAGAAAAAAAAATCAAATGAGTTTCCAGTTTCCCCAGAAGAAAAGTGTTGATAGGTTACAGTTTCTGGAAGACCTGTTATTTGAAGAAAAAAGTGACACCTCCTTTTTTTAGGGCAGGCTATATTGAAATCTTTCTTTTACACATAAATCCTCATGAAAACCAAGATATGGCCAGCAAGGTTTTTTTTTAACAGAAGTACCATGTCACGTTCCTTTCTGGACTGGTCATATTTCATATAAGATTTATATTTACCTGGGCTAAAGGCTTTGAGCTGGGATCCAGCTTACTCCTATGGATATCAAATTCTGCACGTTTATGCCAAAACCTCCAAGCATCTAAAAGATTCCTGTAGTTCTCAATCCAGTACTGAACTCTTTCATCCTTAAGTACATCTGATGGAGAACCCTAAGGTAGGCAGGAAAAAATATCAGACATTTATTAAAGACACACAATACATATTACTGACTTTTACATAAGGCTTTACAAAGTGTACTACGAGATATAAGAAACAATACAATGTCATTTATCCTGAAGAAGATGAACTTCCTGTTAAATTGCAATGTGAGTTTGATAAATGTTTTCTTCAGTTTCTCTCTGATTGAAAATACTTGTGCTGCCATGTCCTCCTAAGAACTCATGTCAGTGAGATGAAGGATTTGAAAGTTCTGTCATGTATCACAATCTGTATTAGTCATGATTGCATATGCAGTTAAATACACCACTGGCAATAGCTGCTACTGTGTAAGAGCCACGGTAAGTCCTTTTTTAAAAAAAACCCAAACCCAAAGCCTACAAACAAACAAACAAACAAAAAGCTTCACTTTTGTTCTCTACAAAAATCTTGAAAGGAAAAAAACTAATGCAAATGTCAGGAAACACACCAGCTATAAGCAGATAAATGGGTATTTCCAGTTCAGCCAGTGAAAAGGACTACGATTTTGTCTCTTTCCCCTAGTATGTCCTCAAGCTAGCTCAAATAGAGAGTGTGAAGGCACATACTTACCAGTTAACACTGAGTTTCAGGTAACCTCACAAAAACCCAAATCCAACCAATTGTCCCAACTTAATACAGAAAATACAAGTTCACATGATTCAACACTACCGTGATAAAGAAACTACATTTATTTTTCCTCCATAAAATTTATTTTGGAGTGAAACACTAACCTGTAGCATGCAATAGCTTGCTGTCTGGACATCTCCAGTTCTGTCAACATAGCTTTCCATCAAGTCAACTCCATCTTTTGTCAGCCCTGTTAACAGTATTCCCTCCAAATTCCCAGCCTCTTTCATTTCATTTGTCAGCTTTTCAATAAACCTGTTGAGCTATAAAAAAAAAGACATAAAGAAATATATAAATACATGTAAAAAACAGCATCCGCTGCTAACAGAATGCATTGCTTGCTGGATGTTATGCAGAAAAAGTTAAATTACTACATTGTATGACACTGCATGAAATCAAGTGTTTATAAACAAACTTTAAGCTTCCTGATAGAAAATGCAAGGAGAGAAGTTATGTATTCTCAGGATACTTTGGTGAATTTAAAATAGAACGTTTTTGCTGCAAAACCAAACCATAATTTGAGAGAACATTAACACTTGGAAATAAATACTAAATAAACAGAAATACTCTCCAGTATAATTAATGCAACTGCATTTGAACTACCATGTAATGAATACTCACAAAAATCTCCAAAACCACAAAACGAATAAAGCCCCCAAACCAACCAACCAAAAACAGAATCAAAAATTAAGCTGAAAGTATAAACTGAAAGACAGATTATACTATACCTTATATACTTTGACAAGAAAAAAAAAATCACTCATCACTCATTATTTCCACCATTCACCCCTCTACCCGAGTTTCTTCTGCCTCTGAATAAAGCCCAGTTTAAAAATTTGTTTAAATGGGCAACCACCAACTTACCTGAGCATCATTGAGGAACTTGCAAGCAAATGCAACTCTGTCTCGTACAGCTACATTATTTTCATACTTTAGAGAGGAAAAAATGGGAATATAACATCAGATACATGTTTCCATTTTTCCAACATATTGTAAAAATCAGAACACTTTCACCACTGCCTAACTAATACAATGAAATTGATTGTGTACAAAGAAAAAGCGGCATCTGGAGAAGGCTAACTCTAAATACCAGCTTATTGTTTGTCCTCAGGCACAGGTATCAGAGGAAGACTGCAGATATGGAAACAGACTACTGGGAAAGCCTGGTACAACACATCCTACACGATTTATGAAACCCTACAAAAATAAACTTTGCAAGTCCAGTAAAGGACTTTGTGCTTCCAGCATGTACAACTATGAATCCCACCAAGTTACAGAAGAAAAAACAAACCAAGATGAGTTGACTGTATTTACAAAATAACTAGCCTAACCACTCCATTCCTTCCTTAAACTGCAAACAAAAGTTAACAAAGCAAACAAAACACCCCAAGCAAACAAAAACTAAACATCCAGAACTAATTTCTCAGAAGTATATTAACACTTTAGGTCCAGCAGTGTGTCTATATTTACCTTCTGCTTTTAAACCATTCTTCTAGATGTGACACTGAAAAAAAATACTTCTCTATATTAATTTTCACACTTATCTATGCCCATATTTTTCTCTCTGATATTCTCAGATTAGAAATTGTAACTGACATTGCCCAAACAAGATGTGCTTGGCAAAATCTTTCATGCAGACATCAACAGGTCTCACTGAAGGAAAAATTAAAATTAAAACCAAATAAACAGCACCTTATCATGTGTGAGTTGCCAGTTCATCAACAAAAAAAAAATCTATAAAATTACTACCCAACATCCAGAGAACAACAATACTCTCTCTCAAAGACAGGAAAAAAAATGTGCTAACTATAATCAATATTTTGGCCATTCATGCATGACTTATTCACTAATATGAGATGTCTCTTTTGCAGAAAAAAATGCTATTTGCCAGCACCAGGATAAAAGAATAGATTTTGATTTGATTAATTCTTGGAGTATATAGGACTCCCCCTACATACATGCATGCATCTATACACTCCTATTGCATTAAGAAATTTTAACCTAATACAGAAATTTACTCACCAAAACACCATCATATGAACCGGACTCACTCGTCAGGAAAGCAAACATAGCACACAAGTAGGGATTGTTCAACTGCAGTCTTAGAGTACTGCACATTTCTCTCCAAAGTGAGTTCTTCTCATCTGTGTAGCCTGACAGAGCCATTGCTACTACATTAAGGTTCAGATCACCTGATTTATGAAAATCAATCAGTGAAACAAGATTATTTAAATTAAGGACTTTAAAAAAATCCAGTTAAAACTGCAAATGAAAGCATCCATTTGAAACACAATGATTTGTCAGGATGCAACACAAAACGCAGTAGAATTAACACTACCTAAATTAATGTGCATACACTATCATGTATAATAAAATTTGCTTTAAATGCATCTGTTCAGGTAAGTTAGCATCTACATGCATGACAGCCTCTTTAAACAACAGCACACTATTTGCAGTATTTTGAAAGAGCTATCATAAAAGATTGTCATTATCGTAATTCAAATCCACAAGAAGTGAAAAGACAGGATTGTATATCCAGCCATTGTTTAACAGACCTAGCTGGAAGACGACAATTTTATACAGAAGTTTCAAGCTAGAAGTTTCCTAAACACGTGTAAACTATTTAATCTAAATATTCGTTCTGTCAGAAAGTTCAATTTTCTTCTTGAATTTGAAAATAGCATGCCTACACTCTGAATCCTTCCTGTGGAAAGCACAGACACTCTTTCACCCAGCAATTCCATTAAAGTAAAAAGAATCCCACTAGTTCTGAACATATGTTTTTCTAGGGCTTTTATCAGCAGGAAATTCTGAAACATATGATCTATTTTAAATAGACAGCATGGCATATGGCAGTCTGACGAATTAAATGTCAGGATTTCTCAAGCTTCAATACAAGTGTTTCAAGTAACAATTTTATAACACAACATGCATCTATCTTCCATAATTCCGTTAACAGAAAAAAATCTACTAACATGATACAGCGCCAAAATAAAAGACTAAACACAATACACACCTTTTCCTGAGGAAGCCCCTTTATTCAGAATTTGTATTGCTCGCCGTATGTCCAAGTTGAAAAGTGCTACAGCAGCAGCTCGTTCCCAGTCTCCTTCCTGTTCCAATGAATTTAGGAAAGGTTCCACATCTAAGTCTGTTCCCTTCTTTATCCACCCACAGAGCTGCAAAGCCAAAGATCTCTCCTCACTCAGATATTGAATAATATCTGCCTGTCTATCAGATCCACTCCTGCTGTGCCTGAGGTTCTCTGTTGTTCCTAGAAATGGGAAATAAATTAAATTATGCTTAAATCACAGTTTCAGTTGCAATCACAATACAAGGCTTTGATTTTAATCATAAAGCAGGGTACAAAAGCTGAGTATAGCATTTTAGTATTTTAACATTGCTTACAACTCCATGGTAAGGAGCAGTATACACAAAATTATTTTGATCTGCTAAAAGTTATGCACCTAAGCTTGATACATATTCCTCAGTCTTTTTTCTTTCTTCTACCACTTGTTACATTTGACAGGAGTTCTCAGTACGTTCAAATTGAAAACATATAATACACAGTCAAGCACCTGTTCTACCAGTTCTCAGCCAGGATCAATGTGTTAGGAGCTTTCCCATCACTCAAGACTCATTTTTTGCTCCAAGAAGCATAGTTATTAGTAAGACATATACTGAAGAGAGAAAGAAATATTCAATAATAAATTGTACTAAGAAAAATTTCAGCAAGCATGAGAGGCAGAATGTGATGAACCAGGGGCAATCACCACTTCAGAACAGGTTTAAACACAGTTGTACAAATATACTTAATACATTAGCAGGGACTACAGCAAAGTCACCTTTCTAGAACTACACCCTGATGTGCAGCTTTGAAAAATACAATAACTATGCAGGGAGCAAGAATTCTTAGTGCCATAGTCAAAACTCAAATGTTTTAAATAGTTCAAAGATTTACTTCTGAGGATACTACGCTTCCACAATTACTGACTTTCCAAGAACACTGAAAACTCCAGAAATTACTGTTAACTTACATTATTAAAACACCAACAAAAATACTTTGTTTTGCTATTTTTACATAGCCTCTTTGAACAGTTGCCAAAGACAAACCCATGAGTGTATCACTCTGCAAACATACAATAATACTTAGCAAAATTGGAACATTCTTACCCAAAGACGACTTCACAATTGATTTAATGCCAGCGTAAACTAAGGGACCTTTGTTTCCTGTAAGTTTTTGATCCATATCTTCAGTATACTGCTTCATAAGTATTTTCATGTATAGGAAGCTAAATTTTTCCAAAAAAAAATGTTTTAAAAAATTTAAAGTCACATCCTGTTAACATATAGAAAGTATTTACAGGATGTTGCATTGTATTTAAAGATTTTAATGCATTTTTTGGTTTACATATAAAGGTATATTACTTCCTTAGGACAAGAACAACAGTAAAATAAAGGATATAATGCAGAGTGTACCAAAGCGATTTCAGCTGAGGATCTTCATTTCCAGCTAAGAGGTGATTTCTCCAAACTTGTTCAGTATCAAGACCATACCTTGACAGAGCTCTGAGGCGCATTTTGGTTGCTATGTCTTTTTCCAAGGAACTGGCCTTTCCTTCTTCAGTACACTCATACAAATGTCGTCCACAAGCCCACATTAAGGATGTCACCGGGCTCCATGCAAGAGAAATTCTTTCAAAAACGGTGAAGTCAGACATAGTCCTGTTGGGAGTCACTACTACCATTCGATTTTGACTTGTGGGATGCCAGGCAAATGAAGCAATGTAATTTTCACATGGTTGGACACTTCTTTCAATTATTGTCGGCTCAGTTTCATCTCCAATAGGGGTGGGAGTATGCTGCATGTCATACAGTCTAATGATGTTACTATCCCTTGTTAAAGTAGCTAAGAGTCCAGTCCTTGTTGGACACCATGCAACTTTTGTTAAGGGTTTTGGTTGCTCTGTCAAGGTCAAAACAGGCTTTTCAAACTTTCTCAAATCCCATATGGCAACCTGACCTTCATAGAAGGAAGCAACACGATCGTGGAAATAGGGATCAACAGTCACTCCTTGGACAGCCTTGGTGTTTACAAATATTTTTTGGCTTGTGTTCCTAAGATCAAAGATAGCCAGATTTCGATGCATTCCAGCTAATAGCAGCTTCTGATCCCGTGGAAGCCAACAGAGAGAGAGACAAGCATCATTCTGTCCCAATTCATACAGTGGTTTTGTTACTACCAGGCCTGCTTCTGCATCTCCTGATGAAAGCCTTACTTTTTCTGTAGCAACTGCAGTCTCTGGGGCATATTTGCTGCTGATATCCCAGATTAGGACTGAAAAGTCAGCCCGATGTTTATCTAACCCAGCAGCAAGCCAATTGCTATCCAGTGGATTCCACGCCAGGGTATTGCATTGCCGAGCATGTTTGGGAACAAATTCTTTGCCTATCAAATCTTTAGATTTTGAGTTGTGATCTTGCCCGAGGCTGGTAAGGACCACTCGGCCATTGGCCTGTCCAACAGCAAGGAGACATTCAGGATCATACTTGGGATACCAAGCCACACATTTCATGTACGGTGTATCCGAATTTATTGACAGTAGTGTAGCCGTAGTTTCCTCCGACAACCGCAAGGACCCTGCCTTGAGTTCAGAACTTACAGCAGAGTCAATGTGATAAAGGCTCAGCTCTGAATCACACACAACAAATCTGTCAACATGGTGTGGGGCCCACAGGATATCAGGTTTGGAGCCACTCATGGCTAGGGTAAGCTGACACACAATTTAAGCTCTGCTAAGAAGATTCAGGTAATATCCATGCATACGGAAACTGTTGAGAAAATAATTTGTAGGAACGTTATCAAAACTCAAGTTCTTTTTTAATCTGAAATCATCATCAAACAAACAAAACCAAATTATTTTTAGAGTTTAACCCTTAACACATTTCAGGCCAAATCATTAAGCATTCTCCTCATAGCACGTTATTTCTGCTAGTAGGTATGTACTGAGACAGAACAAACACAGCCACCTACAAACTGGTGACAACAGGATCTGCTGTGTTTACAAACTCCACACCAGTATTAAGCAAGAAGATATTACCCAAGCTCCACTGTGGTAGGATACGTGGGTGTGCCGCTGGGAGAGAGCCACTCCCTCAAACATCTAGAAGAGAATTTCCCTGCCTAATTAAAAAGCATCAAGTGATTAAAATTAGAGTTTGTCAGTTTTGCCTAAAGCCCACTCCACAGGCTAGAAAAGCCTCCTCTCTTGGAAGATTTCAACAGAAATTCAAATTTTCATTTTACTGTACAGCTCCTAAACCCACCACCTGCCCCAATGCTACCTTTTCTCTGTATCTGGTCCAGCAACTTTCAAATAGGCACATTACTGTCAAAACTCTCTTTACACTTTCGGTAGCTTCATGCCCAGAATCACTACACATGCCTACATGCAAACAGACTCTACAGATCCTATACATCTCTGCTATTATTGTGGAAAAGGACGCGCAAGATCGGGAAGTACAAGAAAAAGTCTTATTTACTCCCCTTGGGTCGCCTCTGTGTGCCTGCAGATCACACCCCCGCCCGCCTCCGAGGGGGCTCAGGGCCCCCGGCCGCAGCCCGTTCCGGCAGACGCGGAGTGCGGAGGCGGCCGCAAGAGCGAACCGGAGCCGGGAGGCGGCTGGCCGGCCGGCCTCCCTACCTCCCTCCTTCCCTCCCTCCGTTCCCGGGCGCGGCAACCGCTCACCCAGCCCGCGGGTGGCTCCAGCCCGGCCGCCGCCTGCGGCCCTGCCGCCCGGGCACGGAACGGGAAGCGCAGGAGAGTTTCCGGTCGCGGCGGTGCTTCCGGCGCGCCGGGAAGCGGAAGCACCGCCCGCGCCGGGCGCTTCCGCTCGGCGGGGCCGCGCGCGCTTCCAGTCCCGGGGCGCGCTCCTCCCTCCCATTGGCGGACGAGAGAGTCACGCGCCACTTCCGCTCCGAGCACCTCCTCAGCGTCCCCGAGAGGGCCGGGCCGGGAGCCGGGAGAGGCTGGGTTGGGGAGAGCTGGAAACCCGGGGGATGCGCTCCACGCAATGGGCTCCAGGATGGCCTTGCTAGAGCAGGGAAGTTGGCCCAGAGCACTCACTGCGGCCCCTTCCAGCCTGAAGCATCCTGTGACCACTGAGAGCATCTCATTCTGATGCCTTTTGGGGCTACCTAAAAACAGAGGCCAAACAAAATTAGGAGAATAAAAAGCGGTTATATTTGTTGAAGGGACTACAGGTACATTTAGGACAGACGAAACCCCCCCCCCCAGGGGCTACATCCAAAAAATGGACTACGGGTCCATTCACAGTTTCATAAGTTTGGTCCCTTTGCATATTGGGGGTTAATCTTCCAATTTCACCGTCAGGTAATGAAGTCATTATCAAGTTTGATTCCCCCTCCAACTCACTTTTGTTTACGTTTCTCAGGGCCTGAAACAGTAAGGTGTCCTTACTGTCAGATCTACAGAGGAATGGGAAAGCTGTAGCTCACACTCTATATGGAGTTTACACTAAAGAATCGTAGGATTACATGAAAAATATAAAAGCTAAAATCCTAAGGTATCAGTTCTTACACTCCTGCCCAGAACACCTCCCAGTCTACCACATTGCTCAGAGCCCTGTTGAGCCTGGCCTTGAACATTTCCAGGCATGGGACATCAAAGCCTCCCTGGGCAGCCTATGCCAGTGCCTCACCAGTCTCACAGTAAAGAATTTCTCCCTCATATCCAGGCTAACTCTACCACTTCTTTCTGGGAACCTACTCAAACAGCCAAAGCACAGGGTTTTGGGACTACGTACCATCTCTGGGCAACTTTTCCCATTATTTGATGATGCAGTGATAAAAATTCCTTACATATAAATTATCTGAAAAAGGAAAAAAACAAACATATTTCCACACTCCTATGTGATTAGGATTTTATAACCTGGTTTTCTGCAAGCCATGGAAATAAGAACTTTTACCTTTTTGTTTTCAATGCTCTTTAAAATGGTCTGTAATAAAAATTATAAACTGAAGTACTAATTGGACAATTTCATATTCTCTCAGAATAACTTACTTCATATAGAAACAGTGATATTTGTCCTGGAAATATTTTAATACCACATTTTAAAAGTTGTCTTCAGCACTGTTAGAGGCAGGACGTTGCTTCCTTACTTTAGCTGCTTCTCTTACTTCCTTTTTCATAAAAGAAAGGAAATGCATATATTTTGGCTTCCTTATTAAATATTTTTCTACTTTCTCTTTTGAATTACAGCATAAAATTTTTTAATGGACTTTCCAATTTTTTATAATTTAGCGTAACATTTTTAAGAAAATGTATGCTAAATCATTGTTCATCTTTTCAATAATCTGCATGTTTTCAGTGCCTTTAGTTTAAAAATGTGTATGGAGTGGCTTTGAACATCGTTTGTGTTATTATCTGTTGTCTTTTTTCTTGTCTCTAAGCATAATAGAGAACTTGTATTACAAACTACGTTTTACAGGTTAAATTTTCGCAGGGTTCATTAATGCCACAAATGTCATTTAGTGCTGCAACAACTAGTTGTCTTAAATTTCGTTATAATATTCCTTCCATTTAAAAAGCACTTTTCTTCATAAAACCAGCTAGCTTTTTCCTTAATATCAGAAATATTTAGAAGCTCAGCAGCTGTTTTGGTAAATAAAATAGACCAAAGCGTGTGGCGAAATTAAAAAGTAATTCAGATTAAATAGTCTATCATATATCAAAGGCAAAATTTGCAGCCCGGATTTTCATGCTTATCTATTTCATCTTCATCATTCCATTTCCTCTACTGCTGTTGAAATGGGGCATAGTGACTTTTTCACATCTGTTCCAAATAATCACCTGGTGGTTCTTTTTATAACAAAGATGAAATTCAGTTTGTGTATTTCTAACATTTTTCCATGGGAAAGTATGAGAGTTCCGTTTATAAATGTAGGTAATACTTGCAATAATCACATCATCTAACTTTGATTCTGAGAGTAAGTTTTTCAGGTACTAGGGAATTGGCAGCTTAACTATCTGACATCTTACTCATTTCTAGAGTCCTAGCGATGATCCAAATACACTACCAACCAATGTACAAGCTGCAGAAGAGCTGTTTCCTGTGTCTTTGGCACAAGAGAGATTCAGAGAAATTTAGAAATGAAAGATGATATTTTGAAGCAATAGATTCTGATGGTGGGTAAAAAGTAAGTAAGTTAATAGAAAGCAAGAGCTATTTGGTGTCTCAGAATGCAAAAGGATGTTACAACCTGAGAGACCACTGTGTCACAGTCACTAGAACTGTTACATGAACTGTTGGAAATAGATGTTTTATATTTGATCATTCTAACACACACAGAAATTATGTTTCCTATGTTGATCTCAAAATAAATACTGCGGCAGTATTTCGTTAGTGAGGTTGTGAATTCCTCTCACGTTTCTGAACATTTTAAACTTTTGGATCTTTGCTTGTTTTCAATCCCCTGATTTACCCTTTTAGTTGCATGTAGCTGTCTCCACATTTGCATCTTTGTCCAATAGCAGCATCTTTATTTGTAAATAATACAGAATATTTGTTTAGTTTTGAGGTTGTACCTCGGTCAATATTAATCTCTTCATCACCATTGCATTAAGAAGTTATTTCTATATTTTGTTGTTTCTTGTAATTGATATGGTTAAATAAACTTGAAACATTTAAACCCTTAAATCATTAGGGATGTAATTCAGCTTGACTTTCATCAAGTCTCATTTTAATCCTACATTTTTTGGCCTCCCAGACGTTGCCTGCACTTCTGATCCCTGTTATATTTTTTGTAAGATCTGTTTACTTCTAATTTGAATTTATATGTTACAATTGCTTTCATGCTGTTGTATCTCAAACTATCTGGTCTTTCACCTTGGTCATTCATTAATTGAGGCATCCAAAATAAAAAGTAAGGAAGATGACTCTTCTTTTGATGGCAGAATGGCCTTTGTCAACTGCACAGGCTTGGATAAGAGTGTGAAAAATGAGAGATGAAAAAGCTCTCAGCTTCACTTACTCCATTAATGTTAGTGGTGGCTGCTGTACTTATTATTCAGTGGGATGCACAGAAATGTTAGCAAGGGGAATTGAAATAAATACAGCCAGAATTTCACAGATACATTTTTTTTCTTTTGAAGATAACTACTGCATTTTATTAATTGAAAAACTGATCTTGGAAGTTTAGAAATTAGTGTCCTAGCTAATCTGTTTAGGGCATCCAGGCTCCTGAAAGAATACCTGGACCAAAGGGATCGCAAAGTTTGAGTGTTCAAAGTCCAAAGGTAACCTGACAAAAAAAATCCTGATTTTAGGAGGATAGAGCAGGGGATATATGTGACAGAGGACAAAGCTTTTTATATATTAGAGCTCATATTCTTCTAGAAAAACTCATGAAATAAAAGCTATGTCTTCAGATTTGATCACTGTAGGCAGTTAGAGATCTCTGCTTGAGCTCTGTCATGTTATGATAAGCAGAAACATGGAGGATTTACAAAGAGTTTTTAAAAGAATTTGAAAATGAAATATGCTGTTTTTTTAACAATATTCCATGTTGCTGAGCCTGACCAAAGCCCTTATTCAAACTGACAACTTTTTGTAGCCACAAAATGGCTACACAACGCATGCTGTAATGGCTACACATTTGGCCATCTTTGCTTTAAGCTGTTAATGAAGCAAAAAAATTTACACAAATAATTCTAAATTGGAATTTTGGATATTTTTCTATGTTGTGGTTTTTGTGGTTCTTTATTAGGTTTTTTTTGGGGGGGGGTTCATTTTAGGGGATTGGGGTATGTGTTTGTCGATTACTAATGCAAAATACTTCTCAGGCCAGTGCTATATAAATGACACGACAAGACTGTCATTTCACTTCTCTGACAACCTAGAACTGTACTTACTTCAGCAGTTCATACTGCCTTGCCAATACATTCACTTCTAGCTTTCATTAACTTTGCGGTACTCAGAAGATTCATGTGATGTACTGGTGCTCATCATCTGGGTATCTGAAAAAGAGGCATGTGTGAAATGGATATTTAGAATCTCAGGATCAGGTAGGAACTATGGAGTAAAAACAGTTCTTCCAGGACATATCCTCCCTCCTCAAAGTGTTGTATCTTAGTATTTTAATACTTTGATCTTTAGCTTCCACCTTCTATTACAAGGGCACAAATATTTTGCCCAGACAGTAGCCTCCTTTACTAGGTATGTATAAATTTTAAGTGCTGCATGAATCACCCCGTATGAAGTACTATCGTTACTATCATTATGCATTTATCATGTAGATACACCAGAGGGCAGGATTTAAATAGCATAAATATCTTCATAGCTTAAATATTCAGCAGCTAAGTGATCCTTTTTCTGCACTTACTGCAATCTGGTTTTAAGAAGGCAAGTAATCACAACTTTTCTTGCACAGTGTATGAAAAACAACAGCACTGGGTCAAGATATATCTAGTACTAGGAACAGCGATTTAGAAAAACTGTTCAAAATACTTATTTCAAATTGCACCTACTAGTCATGTCTCCTAGCCAGAGA